GTGACCTTATAGTTGCAAGGCAAACGTGCGGACCACTCGGCCACCGGCCACGCATGTTAGCGATTATCTTCCCAAAAATCATACAATTTAACTACGTGCTCTGTACCCGCACATTTCCTGATTGATCTCAGTTGACAATAAGTTACGTGATGAATTTTCTGTTCGATAATAATGACCAAGTCGAGTACTCCGCTCTAATCGGATTGCCTGTTTATGTATGCTTATTTCTTTCTTTACTTATTGCTCGTTCACAACACTGATCTCATCATCGAACTCGGGGTTACTTAGATGCTAGCCAGAACTTCTATCCCTTTAGCCCCCAAGGCACGGTGGCCTACACTTGTTGCCACGGTTAATGATGAATTGGTGTGTCATTTCGAAGCACTTTGTGTGGATTGCGACGCATAACCTCTATGTGTGGACCCCGATTCGCATTGAAGTGAACCTTGGTCAATTCGGTCGCTAGGACCTTGGCAGATGTTAGTCGTTTACCGCCACGTTATTTGTGGGGTGAGACTCGGGCACTGAAAACCGCAAAGAATTCGTCTAACCGATGCCGCTTCATGTTTGCACTTTAGCCGGCTGTTTGTTGTTAACAATGGCCGTAAATTTTTCATGAATAAATTTAGGTCTTAACCTGAAAACGTTCGTAAAGAACTCATGAGTTCGGACGAAAGATGTCGGATCTTAGGATTCAGTAGGATGATCAGTTCCAACGTTAGCTCACTCTTTATCAAAGTATGAATATGTGATGCATTGCAGCTAGTGAAACAATGTTTTACTGAGGACAATGTGGGCAAAGCGGCGTAGCTTACGGGAATCATATCATGTCCCTACATATCTTATTTCGCTTCCCAGTCGAGATTGTATACTCTCAGCAACATGGCCTTCCTTTAGGATCATCAACATCACCCGTATTGATGAAGTTGTACGTGAAAGATTTTGAAATGAGGACGCTGACTGACTCTAGTAACTCACCGAAAGTTTGGTGATGCTACGTGGATGGCACATTTGTGATTATGAAACAGGATAAGGTCAAGACCTTGGCCTTTTAAAACTGTAACCACATTTGTTCCACGGACCCGGGTTATCTCACGCGATCATTATGCTAATTGCTATAAAATGCCAAGCCAAAACTGTACTAGTTCACTTGACCTGAAGAAACTCTTGTGTCAAGGGCGAAACATGGTCACAATACAAACCTATGGAAAAACCGATTTGTACTGTAAAACTTTGGAAATTATGTCATCCCGGTCGGTTCCAAGTTTATTCCAAGGTAAGCAGTTAGAGTAGTCTTAAAACGCTATTTCGCAAGCCGAGGGATGGACCTTTAGGCCACCCAAATCATATGTATGCTGGGATCGCCTCATCTGTGTTTGACACAGAAGAATAAGAGAATAGGAAGGCCGCCCGACAGGGTGAAGTAAACCAATTGCTTTGCATTGAATACCCGAAGCGGTTAATCGAACCCCAGTTACGGCGAATTTATAGCCCACATCCACCGCGTACTACGGGGTAGATTGAGACGGGAAAAATTTGTTATGAAGTGGGAACTTCATAGGCCATCCGTAGAGTAGTAAGCAAAAAAGGTGAATGTGATTCTCAAGAGGAGCCAGACGCTTCATTCAACACCGGTGTACTTGAAGGATGCACTTATCACAGATGGGACAACTAATCGCGTCTACAAAATTAGCTGCGAAGATTGCGCACCCACGTACATCGGCCAAATCGCGAGTGAGCTACGCACGAGCATAGCAGAACACAAGAAGCACATAACACGGTCAGCGAGGAACAAGTTTGAATACAAAGCTCTCTCAGTAGCCTATACACGCGATAAATGCAGTTCATGAGTTCGACTTGTATAGCATCGAGATTCTTATGAAGAGGTTACAGTCAACATTCCAACGGCTGACTGCTTAGGCGGTTGAGCGTGGCAAGATAAACAACTGCGTGAACACCCCACGACCGACGGTTTCGTCCTGGTTTTGACTCCTCACGTACAGCTAGCCGAGCTTGGAGTGGAACTCGGCGCATAGCGCTTGGCGGCTATCGCCAGGATTACTAGATCGTTGAGTGGTTCACAAAACCAGCTGAAATCACAAGTTTTCAATCGGTTCCAAGCATCAAGATGTAGTAATATGTATATTATCACCGTTACGAACGGAATGGATGCTCAGTTTGGTTACCTATCGGCATCAAAACCCGGTGCCATTTACGGGGTTGACGACGTTAGCTCTGATGATCATTACTTATTCCTTCAGCTGCACAGGGACCGCGAATGCTTACTTACGGCAACGCAGCTTCCCGTCTCAGCCTCTCGCATCGCCTTACTACTCACACAACACAAATTGAACTGTGATTGAACAAGCTACTACTAGTCGCAGACAGTGCACCTCAAACCTGGACTGCGTTGCACGTGCTAAAAAGGGACGAATCACGTCTCAGTACACCGGCACATTGTTTGTTCTCTCCTCCATTGTCAAATCCTCGGTCTCAAAATCCATTGCGTGTTTGTCACTTGAAATCCCTAGGCCGGGAACCTCAGGCCGCAAATCGGGGTCTCGGCTCTGTTTGTCTAACCGAATGTCGATTCGAAGCGCCCCCAGCGCTTTCATCCATCAAAACAGCTTCCTCAGGTTAAAAACTATAAGCGAACAGAACTGCTGGGGCTGAGTAACCGATTTGCGATAGAGGTCGGTTCCATCGGGTTCACACGATCACCTAGGCTGACGGCCACTTTTGACTACTGCGGTAGCTGAGGTGATGGATGACGTTTATGCACTTTCCCATCGGCTGCACCACTGCTACGAACATTTAACGGATGAGTTCAGCCTATCCACTATGTCACTGTGGTTTTCTGAACCACTTGGGCCCACCTAATTACATCCTCAGTTGATTTCTACTTTCGGTGGTCTCTCTCAATTGCTACTAAAATACAGAGGCAAATCACTGGTGGTTGACTTTATTACTGTTTTCAAAAATCATGCAATGCCCCAAAGAAGTGTTTTCGGACTGGCGATAGCTACTCCCATTTTTGAACACGACTACAGAAGGGGACGTGTCGAACTCATCAGTTGATTTGCTTCCTCGTCATAACCGCCACACTCTACTCTTATCGTATGGCGTCGTCTCAGCGATTCGCATGAAATCGAACGCTGTAGAAACCACTGTTTCCACCCTCAGTGGAATTGTAACGTGGATCGGGATTTACTTGGAAACTTATATTTTTCAATGTCTTACCCAAGTTGCTGCGTGCACTATCTCATTGGAGTGCATTGTAAAGATGGCGTACCCTACTATCGGTATGTTGTTGTCCTTCTGCAGTTCACTGTGGACGCACTGTCGATCCCCTTCCACTGTACAGAGCGTGTATTTTAAGTCACTTAATCATCCTGAGGCAACGGGACGCCAATAGGCTCATCGTTTTCCCGAATACCTCCCAGAGATTCATGGCGGATTTGAACAGAAGTGGATAAGAGCGAACATGGCCTAGTGTTGATCGCTGAAAGGTGACAAATAATCACCGTAAAAACTCGCGCACGGTCTCGGGTTTGAGAATAAATTGCATGAAACTTACTGACGAACATTTCGGTCACTTCACCTAAATGTAGCCAAACTTACTGTGTGTCATGATGTTCGCTGATCCAATCGTCACACTTGGGAGTTTTACCCAATTCCTCTAGAATACTTTCACATTTGAATGCACTGTGGGAATCGTATGCTCACATTTTGGTTCGCCCCTCATCGCATTTTTTGCATTTAAATTAAGGAATTTATCATTTCATCTAAGAATACCAGAAGACGTAAGTTGTGAGATGACTCCTACACATATACTCTTTGACCAATGCTTCATGTTGACGAAGAATAATACCTCTTCCTGCCTCTGTCGTACAGTTCTTGCATCTGACAATATAAATCTGCTTATATCTCCATTAGGCATGCAGCTGCGGCATACATTGTGCCGCCAGTCTAAATTTCTGACTGCAAATGGCATGATGTCCCCTAGGGTTTCCTCTGGCATTTGCACACAGGCGTTCACCCACAGCTGCTTAGATTAATCAAACAACGGCAACATGCAGCTGGTCAATTGTCGCTGGACACCAATTATGTTCCGTTCGCTTCTTCCTCGTTCCCATGATTATCCTTTAAGGTTTTCGGGTAATATCAATTCCACGATGTTAAAAACTGCACGAGAAGTGTCCCAAAACGCACAAATCAACTCGATACGCTTTCGTATCTGTTGCTTACTGGCTTTCGAGTCAATACACTAGCGTGATGGTAACACATATTACTTTCATTCCCTCCTATTGGACGTTAAACGAGCATGTGTTCATTAGCCATAATTGAAGTGGATCCACGAAAACAGACCATCCCTTAGTGACCTCTTATATTGCTACGCCCGAAACTGCGGATGTTCGATCCGGTGGGTGGCTACTTACTCCAAGCCTGTCTTATTCCACGCCAGCTTAAATTGAATCGTTTGAAGAGCTTTGGAGGTGTTATTTCCTGTTGTTATGAAATTGCCGACCAGTGGTCACACGTGATGGTCTTTTGCACGAGTCTGTTTAACCACGTCTTATATGCTAGCGAATCCCCCTAATCCGCTGGAGTATCAAAAGATGTCTCGATTCCCATTGGCTGCGGCCGATGTTTCTCCGCAGCTGACTGACATCGATCATTCGACTTGTCTGGAACTCCCCGGTCGCTTTTGGATAGCAGTAGTTGACGGGTTTGGCTGCAAATCGTTCTCCCAGATTTTTGCTTCTCTGTTATGAATTGTTTATTGTGACCAAATTGCTTGCACGGATTTATCCATATGGTACTCAGCTTAGATCTGCCTCCGTCCACCTAGTATGTATGTCACCGTTCGCCTTCCGTACCCTGTCGTCCTATGCCTACCAAATTTGGCGGTATTGTCAGTCACGATATCGTATTGATAGACCTAAAACGTTCGCAATTGGCATCGCATTGGGTCTTCAGTTCTGATTACTGCTTTTCAGCGCGTTTCTTCCGCACAACCACCCGCCTCCACCACGCTCCATCAGGTTGCTTCCTCCACTTGGACTCTAATGAAGAGCACCCTGAGTGAGTTGGAGGATTCCCCCAGCGACGAAGAACCGACGGCGGGCGAAATTCGCTGGTGGTCCACACGCACTTCCAAATCCCTTCGTGACGCTAAGACAGACTACATGCACTCGTCGCCTGATGCACTCGCATCCTCCTCCTCGGGTGACGACGGAGGAACTTTCGATGAATACGTCAGTCAGTTGGAGAAAGAGTTGTTTGATCAACCAGTCAACCTTGGTCGGTGCGTCACTTCCAAATTCCCCACTGGATATCATTCTGTGCTCGCGAGAAATAGAGATGGTATTTCCGACCGGAAGGTAAATGTATTGTCAAGTTAGCTCTGATCCATTTCAACCCCCTTGCAAAAAGCTTTGCTCCCACTACACTCGCTCATCTTCCAATATCTACCTCGAATGCTTGTAAAATACTACTCGTTTGGGATATTTAGATTTTCTAACCGCCTTACCGTTGGTAAGTCAGGTCAAGATTGTGCTTTATGCCTTCGAGACGGATGGGTGTTCACTTGCAGTGCGCACATCTTCAGCACTGATACCAGAGAAAAGCTGTCACAAGCGAATACTAGTAAAACGCGATACAAAAGATCATAAACAGGGATGCCATCAGACTTGTCACATTTTCGAACCCTTTCATCAGTGACGAACGTTAAAGGAAACCAACGAACTGTAGGCTCGTCTACTTAATTTACCTTACTGCGGCTAGCTTTTGTGACAGGATGAGCCGACTTCATTAATGTCGCGGATTGCTGTTGCCCAAGCGCGGCGATCAGCGGCAAACTACACGCAGATACTGATCCACTGCTTTCGTCAGTGATGAGCACCATGCACAACCTGGAGTCCCAGAAGATCGATATCCGGGTTGGCTGTAGCGAGCCACGATTTCTATTCTCCATCACTGCGACGACACCAATCGTAGAAAGGCGAGGCAAAACCACGGCCTTATTGAAGTCAGTGTCTGGTCTGCAGAGGACGTATGAAGGTATTCGAATGCGTTTGTGTCCTATTCTCGTCGATGGAACTGAAGCGTATTGGTTAACTATGTTGCGGTACACTGTTTCCTCTACGCTAGCGAATGTGTAGGTGGCCACTCTCAAGTCGTTGTGGTTTAATTCAGCTAATTCATCATGGCCAATCTCAATCAGCAGTCTTAGGCTAGTCTGGAAAAGCATCCGACGCCGGCGTTTCAACCTCTGGGTCTCGTCAGTAATGCGCCTCCCAGCGGAACCCTGCCGAGTTCCGCCCTCTTGACTTCTAGATGCCAGCCGCGCACCTGGCTGATTGATAGTTGACTATGATATAGCCCGGCTCATGCAAGTTACGAACTGTGCAGAGGATAGTGGCCAGCCTCACGAGCTAGGACTTTCCGCATAGCACCTCTGCACGGCACAAAGACTTGAAAGCTATACGGACAGACTTGTTTTTATATTAGGCATAAGTAGTGAGTATTTTGGCATAATTCAGGTAATTCGTCATTGCCACTGTCAATCAGCAATCTTTGTAGTTTCCCTGTTTGATAATCTCACCAAATTTAACAAACAACTCTCGACAATCGAAATTGCACCAGTGGTCCTCTGCTCATTGTTAGTGCATACGTTCTTTCTGACTAGTTTCCTTACTGTTCTGTGGATTGATGAATTGGTGGTTTTGCTAAATCTGAATCTTTGGGGATGTTTCTGTTTCGGCGCAAAAACGCTATATTGTCCCTTTGACGAACCTTAGTTTGTCGCACAACCTGGCAGTTTGTGTGAATTCCGCGATCGGACACGTCGTTAGTGCGCATACGTCTGACACATTTCCAAGTGTTATTCTCTCCTTGCGTGTACACGTAACGTTTTCCACTCCTATTTTACTCAGCAGGATCTGGGGTTCTCCATACATAGTGGCGTAACGGGTTGCCTGTCTTGTAGAATTTGAGCGCGCCCTGCATTTTGGGTGTCAGTGTCCAAATCGGTTGCAACGGCTGTACTGCTGAGGCTGATTTTGCATACATGATGCTTCTTCACCGCAGTTGGGATAAACCAACTTACACAAACCAGATCTTTTGAATCTGGATAAAAGTTATTCCACTTTATTTGATTTGTTCAGTTCTGTTCTTGTGCTGTATCTTCTATGTCAATTTTATGATGGTTTTCCCTCAAATTCTTTGTTGGTTGTTTGATATCCCCGGTGTAGCCGCGCTTAATGTCTATGTTGACAAGGTGCCTACCTGTCTAACATCCCTACCTCGATTGCTGGCTCCAAGAGACTGAATCATTGTTGGAGGTGAAGGCTTGCGCGGTCCTCATGTCCGTGCTAATCTCGAAGCGTGGTTCCATGCATCTAGTGTAGAACGGATTACGGTCCATCCACCGTCTTGTTTATGCTTGCTTTCCCAACTACAGTGTGCTTATGTTTTCCTGTGAAGGAGTGTGGGCCGGCTCCGTTGATGGAAGGTGGCTCCCATCCACATGCCTCCCGGTCTTCTTCCTTGGGGTTTACACTGGACATGTGATGTGTGGATGGATCTGTGCGTGGTGCAGCGCAAACCACCAATGGTCCCTCCGTATGCTCAAGCATCCTGTGGCTGTCACGTGGAAGCCGCAATGACTGGCAAATCCGGAACCGGATGCCGCCAACTATTGCGACTAGTCATGTAACCATACAACGAGAGGATGTGGAGCCTCCTCGCCACTTGGTTCTCCACCAATATGTTATTCTCCGGCGTTTTGCATAGCTGGAACTTCCGTTTGTCCCCCGGAATTGACTCCATCTCCGAAATGTAATCAAGCCTGTTCATTGTCACAATGCCCGATCATTTATCCGAATGTAGAAACATTGTGTGTCCGATTTGTTTCAACTTCGTGATCCTGCAACTTCCCGTCTAATCTTCTTCAAATTTGACTGTGTAGTGATGTCACCTCTGCGTGATTTTAACGATTTGCCACTCTTCTTCTAGCAAGCACCCGTGTATCGTCCCAGAACGATTTAGTATCATTCTTCCATGTTAAAGTTCTAGGCGTTCTTTAAGTCGACCCAAACACCGCTTGATAACTCGCCGTCACATTTTCTCTGTTGCTCCCATGTACTTTTCTCAGTGTTACATAAAGCTCACCGAGTCACGATGAATGTTCCTATGGCTATGCCGGAGAACGCAGATTGGCTTGACCAAAGTGATCAAAGAGCTATTGCGATATGGAAGCAAATGTTGGTAGCTCAGGTTGTTCAGTTGGTGGACTGAGTGTTCGTTGAGCTGGTGCTCCAAAACTAGAAAGTCAACTCTGACGATGTAATTTCAGGCTGCAGCGCACCTATTTTTGAGTCCTCTACGACGCTTCAAAGCGAATTGGATGAGCTTCATCAAGGGTCTTTCTCCTAAGCCTTATTCGCAACGCATCCAAGTGTCGTGGTTAACTTTCGCTCTTCTCCCTACTGGCAAATGCCGGACTTTGATAAATATTCCTAGCCCCTCGGTCCCTGGAAATCAATTCATGCCCTGGTTCTCCACTGTCAATTATCTTGATATATATTTTCACAAGATCTACCATGGCAAACACACGTTGATGAATATTTCCGCAGGGTAAAAGGACTATCGTGGTATGCCATGAGAGTCGAAATGCCTTGACTAAACTGGACCTTAATTTTTAAACCAGGAACTGCCCGCTTAGGCTTATTCTGCATTACACTAGACCTGATTGAGCCCATTACATGTTATTGTATTTGCTCAGTTCCGTTAATTCTCAGCATATTCTCTGTTTATTTTGCGCGTTTTTATTCCTGCATTTTCGGTGTTAGTCGGTTAATCTCCTTTAACTCATAATTGTCCTACTTTAAATCAAATATAATACACGTTTTATGTTGTATTCTATTCTGTCCTTATGCCGCACACTTGTGTCTAATTCGTATCGGATATCCCCGGTGTGACCACGCTTGATCTGAACGTTTGCTAGGTGCTTATCTGTCGAAAAACCGCTACCTCCATTATACCGGCTACAGGAGACAATTGACTGTTGTTTTGGAAGACGGGATGCACGGTACTCGTGACCGTGTTAGGCTCAAAGAACGGTTCCGTTCGTCCACTGTGGAGCGAGCCACGGCCTAGCCACCGCCTTGTGTACATCTGGTACGCATGATTCTCCCGGAGTGTTGCCGCTGTGCATGTTGAAGGAGTGTGGGCCGGTTCCGTTGATGAAACATGGCTCCCATCCACATGCCTCCCGGTCTTATTCCTTCGGGTTTACACTGAGCGTGGGGCGTATGAATGGAGTTGTTAGTGGTACAGCCCAAACCACCCACGGTCCATTTGTAGGTACAGGCGTCCTGTGACTGCTCCCATGATGATCGCAGTGATAGGCAAATCCGGAACCGGATGCAGCCAACCACATGGTTCACAAGTATGTGTTTTATGGTGAAGTAGAGAGTACTGGGGATGGCCTGCCGAACAACCCCCTCGTGATGCCAGTTGGGTGGCACGGGATTATCTCGGTCCAGTGAATGCTTCAGTGGGTTTTCGCCTGGCAAGCGTTCTCCCTATAAAAAGCCATATATGTCCATTTAACAACACTGCAACGTGGCAAATGTGACTCCCCACTAGATAAAGTCATTGTCCCTTGTTTCACCTTGGTGAAGCATTGTATCCCAGCACCTTGCTGCTGAAATCGTGGGGAGGATTTGACCCCCGTTTGACTACTCCCCAAAACGAAAGGCGTATGAACTGAGCAATCAGTCATCGGCTCCCAATGGATGCGAATCCATGACTTAGCTACGCTGTCTTGCGGGTAGGCTATTGAGCCAAAAACTTGGGGTGGAGTCCCCTAAGATAACTGCCTATTTCGGCTTGGCCAACCGGTGAGTATGGTGCCGTCTGTGAAAACCATAGATTTCGCAATTACTAATACGTCGCTTGCTTCTGCTGCTACTTTCGCAGCTACTCGTGCTTCTCCATCAAACACGCCAGCTTTTCTCTTGTTGATAATCTACAACCTGTTGAAACTACTTCCAATTTCCGTCCCGCTGACATCCAAATTGTCCGGCCATCATCTATTCTTCGACCCCGTTCTTCATTCCGTCTGGCAGTGTTCAATGTTCGTATCCTCCACAGATAATACATAAGACTAGATTGGCGCACTCTAGAGTCCGTCGCCATCGATGTTTGTTGCCTTTCAGAGACTCGATTGCAGCACCCCAGCACCGTGATTACCTTGTCGTCCACGGCTGCTCTTGAAACTACATATTACCGTCTGTCAGGCGACATGGAGGCAGCAGCAGCCGGCTCCACGGGTGTCGGTATCGCATTGAAAGACAAAGCGGAGGCTGCATTACTCAAATGGTTTCCAATCGACAGC